CTTCTCGCACGACGGCGCGTTGGCTGCACGGTTTCGCGATAGTTTTAATCGATTTCTTGGGATGGATTTGTATATATTTCGTTAAAATTACACCTGATTTTGCGACTATGTACCTGGGTTTAATGGTTAGACTGGTATATTCACTTGCTGAGCTGGCAAGTATGTAGCAGGTTTGCTAAGGGTATACGCACACTTTAGATGGGCGTGAGTTGGAAAGTTCCAGATGAAATGGAGTTAGTACAAGCCAGAACGAAGACGACGGGGAGGTGACAGAGAGGGCGGTGTGGAGGGAAGGTATGACTTTGTTGATGATAGAGACAGATCTTATAACGAATACACGAATCAGCAGAAAATGTATGACGCACTTGGCTGATGTAGAGGCTATAGAAGTCTGGTAAGTACCCTCTCCTGATTCTGACAGACCAGCTGGAGGCTACAAGTACGCAGCCCCGAGTTCCGCCTACCAGGCGACAAGACGGCAAAGCGAAGAAGAAGGCAACCGTCATTTTGCGCGGTCCTCCAGGCGCATGCAAGCTCCCAACGCACGCGCCACGTACCTTGTCATCCGGATCCTGTTCACCCCTGACTTAACGTATCTGGCCCTGTGGCAATCTTGGCGGGCTCTGCCTGATGATGCCGATTGCCCCTATTATGCTTTCTAATATTCCACCAGAGGGATCTGCATCGGCTGATGAATTTGGTGTAGACATCACTCCCTGCATGCGCCTTCTTGGGCACGGCGAGGCTGAAGACCAGCAAGTATATGGCCGCTTTACAACTGATTTCTACTAAGTGCAGCCAGCTCTCCAGATGGACCAGGGTTACTTACGCACTGCTCCGCGGGCTTGACCTGGTCACCAAGAACGCTCGAGTGTTTTATGTTTGTGCAATCGATCGACAACTCCTCGCTTATGACGTGCCAACACCTGCCAGTCAAGCAAAAGGCATGGGTTCGAACAGCGTTGGCGGAAGAAGTCAAACGCCCCTGCACACGCTCTGATTGATTCATTCTGCCATCTTCAACTCGCTGCCCTTGTTTAGGCCACCAGCTTTGCCCATCCCCTTGTAAGCCGGCAGTATTGCCTTCTGCTGCAAGCGAAGGACAGAAAGGACACAACCATATTGGCTCAGACGGCATTGTCCAACTCATCTCGCCGCTCTGTACCCTTGCTGCCATGCCCTCAGAGCTATTTAGTGGCTCTGGGCCTTGCCTGCATCTCTTGTCTGCTTGGTCGATGAGTGATTTCCGTTAGCTAGGACCCAGCGGTGAGGCGCAGGTGACATTGCATCACTACCTGTACATAAGTTGGCATTATTTGCAAGTGCTTGGCAAACAAAGCGGGATTAACTACGTAGTAAATCGTCATGCGCATATGCTAGAGTAGCTGGTTGCTGTTGAGTTTTTTAGGTGCCTACGAAACGAGCTTGTGATAGCAGCAGGTATAGGGGGAGGGCCTGGCCTCGTAAGAGCGAAAACGACGAAAGTCTTCAAGCATCCATTCATCATCTCCAGTATCTCCTGTCTCAAAGATGAATATTAGTCATCGCAATCTAAATAGGGTAATCCTGAGATTGGCATCGTAGGCAAACCTCATTCCTAAGATAACCATCTCCCCTGCAATATGGTCATAAGACTTCGCAGTTTTTGTAGCTATTCTGTTCTATTGTTGCAATTTGCTGCGCCACTCGGACTCGTCTCTTCCACCGGAGGCGCTGATGACCAGGATGCATAATACTTACCAATTACGCTATGCTTGCCATTGCTTATCTCTCCGTGTTATAATCAATCGTGGTCAGCTTCAAGATTGTTCTTCCAGCGAATCCTGTCATTTACAACATCCTGGCGAACATGTATGTTTGGCGGCAGACTACTGTGTCCTGGGACTTTCTTTTCACTGCCTGTGGTGTGATCTCTACGAAAAAATATATATGAGTTCGTTAAACACCTGCGTCCAGCATAGTGAAATGGAACCTTGAGGTCATTTCATGTTTGTAGTATCAAATCTCAGTGATTTGTTTGTAATATGCGTGTTCTGATGAAAACTCAGACTCAGTCAGAAAGTCATGGAAACCCTGGTTCAGTATTATGCATGAAAGGATCCCTTTGTTCAAATTCAAAAGTTACACCCATGCAAAGATCAGCTAATTACTCACTATATGTCGTATTTGTTGAGCATGGGTATCACGACCTGACTGCATGTACATGGAAGACGGTTGGGGTAGTGGGCCTAGTTCCGTGGCTGTGTGCAGCCAGTAGCGCCACCTCTGCTGCAAACCAGTCAGACGCACTCCAAGGCGCTGCGCTAGCGTCTGTAACAAACGAAGTAACAGTGGCGGCGGCAAACATCAACTTTGATTTTACTCTTATCAAATGTGAAGCACCGAAGGAATACCAAGCGCTCGGAAATGTGCTCTCTAAAAAAACGCAAAGAGAACGCCGAATTTGGCTCAAGTCATGTGCTAGCGAGACAACTTGGTGCCCTTTTCGACGGCGTCTGCCCTTCAGCCCCTGCATTGTTGGAAGCATACGGCAAAAGAGCATCGGAAATTGCAAACGTCGCAAAAGAGGAATCAGAGCCTTTTGTGGGAACACTCTTCGGGGAATACATGGG